TCCGAAAAATCACACTTTTTCAATTTTTCTGCTGCCAAAATTATTCAAAAAACATCTTCCATTGGAGAACTGGATTTTCTAGAGGCATTTCACATTCATAAAAAATATATTTCTGTTCTAGTTAACGATCCCTAATTCCAATCCAAATTCACCTTCGGCTTCTGAGAGAAATTATGTTTTAGTTCTGGTTTCGCCAACAGATGGCGCCACTATCTTATCTCCTGTCCAGGCTTTCTTTATCTTATCTTATCTAATCATTATATCCTAATCTTGTTCATTTGCGGTTTTGCAGCTGAAGGTTGATGGTTCGGTAAAACCATCGAAACTAGTCCTGTGAAAGTTTTGTAAATTAACGCTGATTTTTGTTGTTTGACTTCTGAATTAGTATTTATTCGGCGTGTTATTGTGTCTTAACATGCTCTATATTTACCAACAAAAATGTTAGCAAACAGCACATATTTCCTGAACTTTAACTGAAAGATTCAGCTCTACCGCTGCAAAAAATGTAGAATTTGCTAATGTATTTCATTTTTATTGGATGAAAATTTTAAAGCACTACAGTAGCTTGCTACCATCAAATTATAATAACAATAGCCCAAGCAAGCAGGTATTTTAATATCATTCAAAATTTGAATACATTTGACATTTTCTAATTTTGAAATGATAAACTTCAGATAATAGTTTCTATGCAAAATTTCTTGAATATTTAAAATTAGGCAAAATACTGGCTCATGTGATTAAAAAATTATGCTTCCCTCCCTTCCTGAATCAAAGAGATTTCTGTCTGATCACCTTCAAAATTTATAGTTTTATTCAAAATTTTCATCAAGTTGAGTTTTTTTTCTTTTGTTGTTTTTGTTGTTGTTGTTACATGATTTTAAATTTTATATTGCTGTGTTTCTCTTCCATTTGATTCCATGAATACTATTTACTAATACTGTATACTAGCATGTGAGGCAAAAGACTATTTTCTAAAGCATGCAAAAGTGTTGCCCAACTAATAATATTTAGATAATACAAATAAGCTGGCTTACAGAAACAAATTATATTATAAAATATTCTAAAAAGATTGTACAAACCAAACTTAAATGGTTAACCATAGACCCAAGAATCTATTAATGAATCAAATAAACCTGGCTTTCAAACTACAACTATTCATGACTTAAAGAAAAGAAAAAAAAAAAAAAAAATGTAGGAAACTTTAAATTTATCCACTCACAAAAAGACCTAATTTGCATTTTTTTCTTTAGTAATGATTTTTTAGAAAAAGACCTGATATGTAATATGATAATCTTATGTAGGAGGGAAGGGGGGAACTGTCAGAATTAGGTAACTTACTTTAATCTGATGCCAAAACGTCAATTTTAGGAGTAGTATTAAAAAACGAATTTCACTTGAATTTTAAAGTTTCTTTGAAAATGGAAACTTGATACACATACCAATAATGCTTACCTAATATAAAAGATACTTTTTAGAGACTCACATCTGAAAACATATGTAGGTGTTTTCAACAACACATTTCTCCAAATTTAGTTAAATATATCTCAAATAATTTTGATGGATTAAAGGGTGACTCCCGAAGCTTTACTACTTTGGCTACAACTCTCTTATTGACAAGACTTTCCTATAAAGTGCAATTACATTTACTAATTTCACACAAAGTGCAATTACATTACATCTTATTTATATTTAGTAAAATGTGATACATGATGACCAAAATATCATAGTTCTTGTTTGATCGATTTTTTTTTTTTTTTTTTTTTTTTTTTTTCAAGTTGGAGTCATGATTATGCAATGAAACAATCAAGAAATATTTAGTAATGTTATCTTTTCAAGTGCTGCATATTTAACTGTTATTATTAATTAGTAAATGGTCAAGGATATAGCTTAATAGTAAAGTACAATAATTATTTGCATTATTGCATATAGAAAATACAATAAAATATACTATTAATTATTTATTTGTTTTCATAACAAATTTTACACTACTATTAATTTGTTTTCATAACAAAGAACATAAGATTTCTAATTAAATGTTTCCATGGATTTGAAAATAGTATTAGGAAAATTATTAATTTTTTTTATAAATCAATATGTTACTATTAGCATGGTAATTTTTTTAATAATTTCTTTCTATTACAGTAGTAATTAATAGAACTCAATGTATGGTTATTTATAGTAATTTTTTCTATTATATTAGCAATCAAGAGAAGTAACAGAGTTGTACAGTTACTAATGATAATTATTAAATACAACTAGTTTATCAATTTCATGTTTTGACAATTTAAAATACTGCTTTGAAATATATGTAATCACAGTGAACATCAGCATCAGCCTACAACTTTTTTTGATTAAGTACTAAATTTTGTAACTTTGTAAAAAGTCTTTTTTAATTTTCTCTGCTCTATTCTTAAATAAGGAAGAAATTTCAAGTTAATACCAATTCACATATTAAAACTTTTATTTCATTTTAAATTGATTATAGATTTAAATAAACATAGTCATTTATAATTTTTCAAATAGTGATCCATATATTTTTTAAATAATGACCAATATGGAAGTTTTCCTTTCACAGAAATATACTGTGAGTTCTCTCCCAACACCTCCTTTTTTTTTTGGGAGGTAAGTCATTACATTTCCCCCACATCCTGATGGGAAAATGTAGTTTTTGATTAAAGCCACCATTAGCAGCAAGAGCTGATCACCAACCTTGTTTTGCTACTTGCCAATATATTTTAAATTTGAATAATTCTGAAATGTAATGTATACAAAATCTATTAATTAAAACAATAAATTCTAAATATCGAAAGAAAAGTTTTGTCACAATTTGAAGGATATAAAAATATTATTTTATTACACTGCTGGCTATTAAAATTGTTATCAAGAAAGTGCATAAAAAATCTGAAATTTACATGATAAGTAGAACATGTTGAGATATGCAAATGATTAAGCACTTCATGACATGCACACATTATAAACAAGATTATTGACAGCTCGAAGTAGAATAAAAAGGCAGGTTGAAAAAATGAGTTTTCATTAAATTACACCGACTCATTGCTTTTTTTTTTTTTTTTTTTTAAACCATAGACCATATTATACTTAGCATAAGAGGAGAGAACTCATATCAGCATGGCTGAGAAATTGATTGTGGGAAAATACTAGCTTATTGGGACTGCAAGTCATTGAACTGTCTAAATACTGCTCATGTTGGCTGAGATCCAATGAATGCTACAACAATTTGTAATCAACTGTTCATTAAGGTTACACAAAGCAACCTGCAGGATCTCTACAGTGGTCAACTGAAAATGCTTGAGATGAAAGATATATTTTGTCCACATTGCTGTTAGTTATACCATGTATACTTGGTCAAGAAAATGGGTATAATGGAACAATGTCTGTGATGCCGTAGTTCGTCAACAAGGCAATCATTGCTTTAGCTTGATGTTAAAGTACAGGATTCAGCATCTATAAAGGTATGTTCAATACCACACATGGACACACCTCAGCAACATGACAAAGGCGTTACCTTTTCTGATGAATATCACTTTTGCTTACAGCACCACGATGACCATATTAGTGTATGAAGATCCTGAGGAGGAATGAATGTTAAAAGCTTGCATTCCTTATCATTATGCTGACCCAGAACTGAAGATATGGGGTGCCTAGGTATACACCCTATCCATATCTAATTCTACATGATCATGCCATATATTCAAGCCTTCATTATTCATCAGTTTTCAACAGGAAAATGTGAGAATTCATTTTGCTAGCACTGTTCTGTGATTCATCAAAACAAAGGGTATTCAACATCTGCCTTGGCTGGCACATTCTCCGAAATCTTTTATCAATTGAAAGAACCTGATTAATGGTTGCAGAGAGACTAGCATAGCAATACCCAGCAACCAGAATGAGAAAAGAGTGGCACAGAACTGAAGTTGCATGAACTGCAATACTTTAATAACTTTCCAAAATCTGTTCAACTTCATCCCCAGTTGTTATTGTTGCCACAGCTGTATGCTTGGGATACTGATTTCTGCATATCATAGCATAACAACACCCAGCAACTAGTATGAGAAAAGAGTGGCACAGAACTGAAGTTGCATGAACTGCAATACTTTAACCTTTTGAAGACGGGATGGCCATTACAGTGGCCGTAGAGTCTTCTCTTTGAAAAGACGGGGTTGTCCACTTTAGTGGCCATATCCTTTTCCCCCATTTTCCAGGCTGAAAAGTGGGGTGAAATGTCAAATTTGACATCCCTAGGGTTTTAACAACTTATCCCTTTCAAAGATCTTCCTTTTGCGACATAGATGCACCCCTCTGAGAATCCATTAAACTACACACAAGAATCTTTGTTGCAAATAGGAGGTGATTTCTTAAAGGGGGAAAGCATTCGGTTCAAGATTCCTCGTCCTTTGGTAGCTTTTACTGCTACCAAAGCCCGGCCTCAAAAGGTTAATAACTTTCCAAAATCTGTTCAACTCCATCCCCAGTTGTTATTGTTGCCACAGCTGTATGCTTGGGATACTGATTTCTGCATATCCTGTAGCTCAAAATTACGAAAATCTTTAATCATTTTAGCCTTCTATTATAATAATAACTTCTATTATAATAATGCTAACTGCGTTCCTTCATGTTATAGCAATTTTAATGGTCAGCAATGTATAATCAAATACTGTTTTGAGACATCTTCAAATTTAAAAAACAAAATGTTTGCCTTTTCTGTATCATACACTGCTTTACTTTTCAGTTTCTGTTTTAATATTAGTATCACTTTATCCACAGTCACTTATTCCCCCCCAAAAAAAACCATTAGTTATCTTGTTACAACAACAACACCAAAAATACTTTGAAATCTATATACAATTTAAGAATTTTCATATTACATGAAGTAATATAACACAGCAAATATGAACATGTTTCAGCGGATGAAATGTTTTACACAAAAGAAAGATTATTATATAAAAATAATAAATAATAAAAAAGCATATTTTTGTTACCCTAAGACTTTCATCATCTAAATTTTCATACAGTTTCATCTTTCTAAGAGCATCTACTGTTAATCTGTTGTATGCTCTATCTAACAGTGCCGGAAGGGTATTTAGACGTTTTGCCACATCAAATGTTTTGGCTGCAAATACATTTATGTATCTAATATATGCTAAATGCATGAAATAACAAACAATGTCTTAAATAATTTATAAACTAAAAATATAAGAAGCTTTTAAGAATAAAAGTCGCTTTAACTGCATAATTACATAACTGTAGACTATATAAAAGTAAAATTGAATACAATTTGAGAAAAACTTTAGATTTTTAAAAATAGATACAGAATTAGCATTAAATTATTCTAAACATACATGACTTTCACATAGATTATCTAACAGCTTTTTTAAACTCACTACTTAAAAAAAAAAAAAAAAAAAAAAAAATTGTAAAAAATAAAAAAGTAATAAAAGGAAATTTATCTTGAATTTGAATGTATATTAAAATTTGTTTATAACAAGAATTAGAGGAATTACAATTTCTCATTTGCAAATAAATAATTTCATAATTTAAATTTAATTACTATGTTTAAATAACATAGTTGTTAACCTTGAAATCTTAAAAACTGAGATATTTTTGCGAGAGAAATCAAAAGAACCCTGGAGGATTTCATGCTGTGCCACTATTTCAAAGGAATTCCAAACTGACATAATTTCATAACTTTAATCAGAGAACTTTTAAATGAGATGAAAATAATACACCCAAAGGGACATTTTTTTTCTTTTTATTTACACACACATACACCTTTTGAGAGCATTTGGGCTAACACTCCTTTGGGGTAAAAATATTTAAAAACAGCATATCTTTAGAATTTTTGATAGGCAGTCTCACACACTGGAGATAGAGCTGTTTTATTCTGTACAGTGTTGCCACTGCTTGTTTTGAAATCTTTGAGTTTAATAATTAATGCATATAATATCTGCATGAATAAACTTAGTAATGTAGAATATATTGAAGTTATTAATGATTAATAAATTAAGTACAAATATTAACTGATTAAACATTGCTTGTATCTTTATATAAAAATAAACAAATGTGTACAGTAGATTAAGATAACTCCAATCAACTGAAATTTAATAACACAAGTATCAGCAAAATGTAAAGAAAAATAAATAAATAAATAAAATTTAACATGAAAAATTATTCTGAAAGTCATTAGAGGAATAGGAATGGAATTAACCTGATTTAAGTTTCATTAACTCAATAAATTTAATTTATTTCTTAGAAACATTATCCTTTGTAAAGGCTAAAACTTAAAAACTAGGAGATTTGGTAATCAGCCAGAAGATGTGATGATAAACTGAGAGTTTCCCAGTGAAACCTAGAAAGCTGGCAGCTATTCTGCCAAAATAAATAAACTAAAGCACCATAAAATTTTATTTCATTTACAGCCATGTATCAAATATATGCTTCATTTATACAGCAATAAATCAGACCAATGATTGTGCAGATGTTTTAATTTTAGTTGGAAAATAATATTTTTATTCTGTCAAGCGAATTGTTAAACTTATTACAGAAAAAGAAAATTATAACATCTTCCAGAGGAAAAAAAATGAATAAAATAAATTTAAGAACTATTTGCACACTGCGGGGAAAAAAAAAAAAAAAAAAAAAAAGAAAGAAAGAAAGAAAGGGGACAGTTCTATATATCCCGTTCCACTGGGCCGATTGGCAAAATTCAACTTGCGTTTTTCATGCATCGAACATGCGACTTAGAATATGTATTAGATTTACATATAACATTGTTTTAATTTAGGTATTTTGACACAAAATCGGACTTTTTCAGAAATAACATACCAATTTTTTTTTCCATATTTCAATTGTACAACTAAAATTACGTCAAACTACCAAGTTTTGTAAAAATCGCACAAGTAGTTTTTAAAAAATTAGCTCTCAAAATTTTAGTCCCTCAATGTTAAATAAGTTTGGTATATATTTATTAATCTCTCTTTTTTAATTAAACTTGTTTGATTCTTCTTTTCACATTTCAAAATTCAGGTTCATTTCAAATAAAATTCATCCATTTTTTTACAATTATTTTTTAAATTTGTGTTTTTAAATAATTTTTTGAAATTTTTCAAACAAAAATTTTGAATTATAATCTACAAAATTTTTACCATCATGTTAAAGTAGATGTATTTCTAAGCATACCTGCAAAAAAACTACAGTTTTTTATTCAAAATTTCCGAAGATATACGTGAATCTATATATTGGCACATTTTTAAATTTAGCATATTTGTTGAAAGCGATAAAACATCAAATGTTGTTTAGACACATTGCTAAAATTATTAGAAAAAATCTGATGTGTACACCACATGACATCCTTGTACGGAATATTAAATTATACGCACTTTTTCTTGCATTTTATTTAAACTTATTAGATTGAATTAAACCTACTTCGCCGACAGTGCATAAACCACAATAGAATAAATGCATTCTTTAAAATTCACTTTGTTTACCATAGCGACACTCTGGCGCTAGGTTTACTTAACAGTATTATATTTCATTCATATTATAACTCAGAATGCACAAAATGTATATCATTTAAAGAATTATCTAATCGTTGCCACATGTTCTATTCAAATACTATAATAAAGCTAGAACTATGTATAAAAGAAATTAAGCAAACAAAACAAAAAAGAAACAGTTTTTCACAGACAATTGAGTATTTCTCATTTAATTAATTCAGTTCTCACTTCACGAGAAGGCAAAAATACATAAAAACTCAGAATATCTATATTAAAAATTACGAAGTAAATCTCAAACGCTTATTTCCTCGAAAAAATTCCAGAAAGAATTAAGCATGATTTAATTGGCAATAATAAATGAATGCATTATCTTTGTTGTTGCAAAGCTAAGTTTCTCTAGATTGGCAACAAATTCACTAGTCTCCTGTTTCAAATGTAAACATCAATGGCCGCCATTAAAATCAGGCTTAGGCGACAATTAAAAAACTTTTAAATTTCTTATAATTCTAAAAATATTGCACACAGATTTACTAAAGGCATAAAATCCTTAACCGGAAGATAAAAACAACATAATTCAATCATTTTTAAAGCAAAAAATGTACAATTTACAAACATATGAGAGTAAAGAAACTGAGATCACTGAGCCAGGTAATAGAGTGGATATATATATTTATATACGTTTGGTGCGGCTGACTGCAACCAAAGTACGAGGTACACATCTACATGTTATAGCAGTCCTATATACAAAATTTCAACGTTCTGAGGCTACTCGTTTTTGAGTTTTACGAGATACGTATGTATGCACTTGTCTTCAGAATTAATTTTAAAGCAGTTTTATAATTTTTTTGAAGGAAAAGAGGGTTGATCTTTGGATTATAGTAACTTGGCGATTTTTTGGCGAAAATTTGGTGACCAACTCTGCTACAGCAACCCCCTATTTTTTTTTCGCCGCCATTTTGTCTTCTCGAAGTAAAGACATGTTTCTTTTCTTTTTATTTACTCAACACTTTTTCCAACAATCTGCTAGCCGAATTACACTTATGCTAGAAATTTTATGGAACAAAACTGCTTAATCATGACAAATATTAACTGCAAAATTGGGAAAAAGTGCAGAATTGCAAACTCCTTTTCACGTTTTTCAAAATCGCGCATACACAGTAACCATGTACACGTCCACTTATTTTTACTTAAAAAAACATCCCAGGATTGCACAAAAATGGCATTGCACACACTCTTGACTTTATCCACCTACACTGCTATTTTCTCATAAATTACAAAAATTTGCACGAAAATGCAGGAAAATTTTGTGAATCTTTAAACTTGGTAAAAAGCACATATATGAAATTACCTGATCGCGAAAAAGTGTATACCCTATCCAAGGATGAACATTTCCACGTATAATATAAATAAAATATCCAAAAACTTTTACCTCTAAATTATCTGTTATAAACGTCACCAACGAATTCATAACAAAACATTAAAAATGGTTACAAATACTTAGTGTCAAATATTTAAATTATTTCCATGCACGTTTACTTCAACTGAAACGTATACCAAATTCCTACAAACATAAAATTCACAAAATAACTATCATTTAATTAAAATATCACTAAACCATGTACACGTCGACTTATTTTTACTTAAAAAAACATCCCAGAATTGCACAAAAATGGCATTGCGCACACTCTTCACTATATCCATGTACACTGCTTTTTTCTCATAAATCAGAAAAATTTCACGAAAATGCATGAAAATTGTGTGAATCTTTAAATCCAGTAAAAAGAACATATATGAAATTACCTGATCGTGAAAAAGTATATACCCTTTCCAAGGATGGACATTTGCACGTATAAAATAAATAAAATATCCAAAATCTTTTACCTCAAATTATCTATTATAAACGCCACCAACGAATTTATAACAAAACATTAAAAATGATTACAAATACTTAAACTCTTTCCATGCACATTTACTTCTACTCAAACGTATTCCAAAATACTACAAACATATAACTCTCAAAATCACGATCATTAAATTAAAATATAATTAAATTAAAAAACATTACGTAAAATATAAATAAGCACATACATTAAATTAATAAAAATTAGCTTACAATCCTAATTACTTGCCTCGTGTTGTACATATGTGGTGCACGGGGAGTCTGTATGTTCTCAAAGGAAAAAAAAAAAAAAAAAATCCTAATTACTTTAAATCTTTAATAACAATTTCCCAATAATAACATATTAATTTATTTACTCCTTACATTTAGAACAATGCATAAATATAATATCCTCAAATAATTAAAAATACTAACTTAGATTAGACTAATCTTCTACAGAATCTTGAGTGCATGGCGGATCACAAAATGCCCATTTTCACCAGGTTTCTTGCATCGCCATTCAAACTATCTGTAATATCCTTCCTTTCACACAATCTCATTTCATTCCCACATATTGGACATTCATACTTATCCACAATTAAGCAATTCTTTTCAATTACACATAAATGTAATAAAAATCTCAGATTTACTTTATATACGGCCATGAGATCCGAATATTAAATAACACTGTTTCACAGAACATAGAATGAAACTACTGCTATAAAGTACAGCAGATATTTTTACAAATATACCCCCTTTTCCGATTAAAGAACAGTGATTCGTCCATTAATGTCACATGACATATCTCATGATCTCTCGTTTCCCTCACACAAAATAATGCGTAATCGGAACTGAGTACTTCTCACATTATTTCCAAAGTCCTAGGTAGTAACCTTTATCGCCTCCAAAATATCGCCAAACTACCTGTTACCATATTCCAAAGATCAGCCGAAAAGAGTATTTTATTCTGTCCTTACGTACAGATATCACGCAAAAACATCGTTAAATTGCATTCGATAGCGGTCAAAATGGATATTTTCGTTGAAATATCCTGCCTGAAACTTTTCGCGATTACAAAACTTCCTTTTTACTTCGTACAAGGAAGTAAAAAGGAATGATGTGACTTTTTTTCCGCTCATGCACAATGCACAAAGGTCAGAACGAGGTGACTTTTTTCTGCTCCGGCATAATGGAAGGGAAAGGAAAATTGTTTGCCATATAATACGAAATTTGCCAAGTGAATTACTCTTGGCGCAAACTGAAAAAAATTGCGCCAAGATAAAGTTTTGATTTTCTCCATAAATTTCACACCAAATTTTACAAAATTGAATATCTATGCATAATTTGAGTCCTAGAATCGAAATATGGAAAAAAAAAAAAATTGGTATGTTATTTCAGAAAAAGTCTGATTTTGTTCAAAATAGCTATGTTAGAACAATGCTATATATAAATCTAATATATATCCTAAGTCGCACTTTCAAGACAGGAAAACCACAATTTCAATTTTGTCAATCGGCCCAGTAGAATGAGAGATCTTGAACTGTCCCCCTTTTTCTTTTTTTTTTTTTGCGCAGTGTACACAAGAAATAAAGCTTAATGAAAATGAATACATTTTAACATGCAAAACATTTTGCCTATTAGTTACATGAATAAAAATCAAGCTTATCACTCAGATTTTCTCTTTTCTTACAAAAAATTCTCATTAGTATTTTAGCCAGACTACTGTAGTATACTCATCAAATTTTACCCACTTTAATTACTATTTCTCATTTTGTGATAAAATTCAAATAAATACTGCAGAAATGAATCCCTCAACTAAACAAGCCTGTTCTTTTAATAATTTTATATGGACTGGACTATTTATTCTGTTATATTTTATTACACAATGCATGATGGTTATATTACATTATTTTACTCTGCAATTTACAATAAAACACTATATATTGTCTGTTGTCTGAGATGCTTGGATGCATTTACTAGACTTTAGAGTAATGTATTACATGTTACAACAGCTCAAACTTTTTAAGAAAGTCTTTATCAGATATACAAAATATTTCAAAAATTAAACTTGATAATTAATTGCAACAGATGGGCTGCATAGTTAAGGCTCATCTTAGGAAGAATGCAATTTAAGGGTTTCCTAATGAAAATAGGTTCATATTTATTTATATATGAAAAACTTGTGAAAATATTCATGCTGCTGGACAGTTTACCCATTCAGCATCAAATTTAGAAAAATTAAATCCAGTGCTCTAGCCTCTCAACTTTCGACGGGCATGATAACAGCTTGTCTACATCATTCTACCTCTCCCTTGTTATTTCATCTTCACCTTACACATTGTACTCTTTTATTGCATCAACAATAAGTAAAATTTTCTAGTCTTTAACATGCTTGGTTTCTTCCATCATCCATATTTTTATCCTTCCTTCACAAAAGTTTCATAGTATTGAATACCAGAAATAATTTTAAATGAGACCTAATGCTGCCCCCTCTTTATCAAATGTTTCTACTTTACAATAACAGTTTCTTTCACACATGAATATATAAATTTAAGATTTTACCTTCAATCCAGGCTTTAACAATAAGACTTTGTAGAGACATTAGGCTAACTGAAAGCCGGAGAGATGAAAAATTAGCAACCGCCTTCGGGAATCGAACCACGACCTTTGGAATAGCGGCCCAGCGTGCAGAACCACTACACCATGAAGGCACGCCGCTAGGAAGGTGGGAGAAATACCTTATATACTCCCCCTTTTAAAGGGCGACTGGGGTTTTTAGGGGACCCAATCGCCAAATCCTGGGTGGGGAGAAATCCATCACCCTTTTTAGTTCGGGTGCCACTGTGGAGACATTAGGTTAATTGGAAAAGCCAGAGAGATGAAAAATGAGCAATCGCCTTCGCCAGGAATCGAACCACGGACTTCTGGAATACCGGCCTAGTGTGCAGAACCACTACACCATGAAGGCACGCTACGAAGGTGGGAGAAATACCTTATAACTTAGTAAATATTGTGAATTTCTTCCATAAAGTAAAAGTAAAAATTTTCATCTTCTTACTAATCTAAAAATTCGGTTGGAACAGAGTAAATAATTGGGAGTTCAACATATATTACTTGCTTTTTTAATAAGAAATGAAACTTTTTGTTTTATTTAGAATTTTTTTTGAAACTACATTTTTGTTTTGAATTCACAAAAATAAAATTATTTAATGGAAAACCAATAAAAAGAAAAGATAATAATTTTATAGTCATTTATTATTGCAATTTGACATTTAGTAAATGCAGTGTTATCAAGTAATGAAAGACATTCAGTTATTATGAAACTGAATAAAAAGTACATACCTTCTGCTTTTGAATCTACGTAAAATGTATGGACATTCTTAGGCTTATCCTCAACATCTAATACTGCTAATGCACTTTTTAGTTTCTCAATTTTCTAGCAGATTAAGAAAAGCATTTTATGAACATTATTTTAACACATAAGCTAAATAAAACTTTATTTATTTAAATTTCAAAATTATACTGATTAAATATGCTAATAAAATAATTATGTACTAATGTAAAGACATAATTGCATATAATACAGTAGAACTTTAGAAAAGATATGTTACAGCTTAAAGTGATTATAAACATTTTTAAAAATAATTTTCATTTATAAAGTACTTGAATAAAAATAAAGGTACATTCTGATTATCCAAACCACTACTGAAAAATTGCAAACACGTTGTCAACTTTGGAGAGCATCTGCATACTCACTGTTGACTAATTTTTTGTCAACAAATGAAAGGCAACAGTAATTTTCTAAATCTTAGCACACTAAGAATTCCAAGCAAGAGCAATCAATCAATAAAATTAAGAAACAAGAACATCATTAATAAAATATTTAACTTGTTTGAGAAAATCCTTTTCATACTCTTGTTCTTCCCATGTATACGGCGATCTGTTTTCGCTCAAAAAAGCATCAGATTTGCACAAACTTGGCATCACACAAATCTGGAAATGAATACTAACCAAAACAGACGTCCACTATGTGCATATGTGGGTTGCCATATAAATAACTTTTGGCAACATATTGCTTTGTATCATGAATAATTTTTTTTTTTTTTTTTTTTTTTGATTTTTTGGTGAAGGTGTGGATAATCAGAAAACATTAAACAAGGTTAATGAAATGAATATTTAAACTTCATAAATCTAAATACTATTATTAATAATAATACTCTTGCACCCCCTAGTACACAAGCTATAACCAACCGATGTTATATCTGAGATTTTGCAGCTTGTTCTCCTTCCTTACCTTCTCAGCTTGCCTGCAGCCATATTTCAACTGAACAATGCAAGACAACACACTGCACATGATGTTCAGGCTTTCTACTTAGTCTACCATATTGCATTGCTACCCTGACCTGCCTCTTCTCCAGATTTATAGCCCACTGAACATGTCTTGTCAATGATTGGAGAATGCCTAGCCCAGCATCCTGTACCTGTGGGTACACCAGATGAACTTTGGCTAGGTGTGGAGGCAGAATGAGATGCCATTCCCCAACAACACACCCAAAGGCTCTTTCACTCAATGATGCAGTGTGTTACAGCAGTTATCAACAAATGTGGAGGCAACACTTATTACTGAGTTTCTTGTCTTTCTCACCTCAAAGATGGCTGTATTTCAAATCAATTAACATTGGTATTATGTGTAATCACTAAAATACATTTGGCTTTGATATCCGTTGTCCTTTTCTGTGTTGCATTTTAGATGGCCAGCATTGTACACATAGCATTAACAGAAGCATTAGTTATGATTTAAAAACAAAACTGAAATTATTGATTTACTTGAAAGTGAATGCATTAGATATATGAATGTCATATATCTAAAATTACAATCTTAATTCATTTTACAAAATACAATACACAAGTTGAATGAATTCAGCATATTTTTAATCACACTGATAAACATAATTAAACAAAAATGATTTACTTTAAGTTCTGTGCTTAATTTGTAGTTAACATAATTAGCATCTTGTGTTTTCATCAATTTTAACTGAGCTTCAGTGTGCTCTTCCGGCTTTTCTTTTTCATAGTGAAAACCATCCTGGGGAAAAAAAACAACAAAAACATGGAAATTCATTAATTTTATATTTTAAGCATCCCAGTAGTTATAATAGTTGTGTATAATTTCAACAATATACAAATGAAAATTTAATATCACATTATGTGTGTCCACTAATTATTAATTACACACATATGTGCTAGAAATCTTAATCAAATCCATATTCAATTTCCTTCAGTATCACAATAACAGACATCAAAGTGTTAGTTATCCTGAATTATTTCATAGATATTTCTCGACATTTTTGAAGTATTCTTTGTTTCATTTCATTTCTAAAATTCAACCACTTTCCATATCATTATTTTTGCTACTTCATATGTAAAATATGGTATACAAACACACTGCAATAAAATAAATGCCACGAGAATATATATGCATATTACAGAAAATGTTCGAAAAACAAGTACAGTCTAAAGTCGTTAATTCGGACACCCATAATCCGGAATGATCTATAATCCGGACCTCAAAGTTACAAACTTTCTGCGCATAGGCGTTTACGCCTGCGCGTAAGACCTTTACGGCAGCGAATATGGGTGTGCGCAAGCGCAGAATACGTTTACGCATGCGCGTTTAATGTATAACGGATGGTATAACTAAGCTAAAATTATCTAATTCAGTTAATGTTGCAGATTGCGTTGTTCCTTAATCTTCAAATTGGATCCGGCTTATTATTTTTTGCAGACTGTTAGAGCAATTTTATAAAAGTAAGCTTGAACGTTCGATTATGTCAAATAGAATTTCCGATATATATTTACTAACATGTAAAAGATCTACAAAGCGAAAGTATGTTTTGAAATGCGAAATCTGTTTATCAATTTCACGCTGCTCTGCGGCAGGGGGGGGGAAGAAATGCGGCGGCGCGCAATGAATTGGAAGTTGATCTGCCAGCACTATCCTTATCTTCAGGGCAGATGTTTTTATTTTATTTGGCTTATAATTCCTTACTGAATGTAGTATTTCATCTGGATGTACACCGTTTTTGATATGATTTAAATCAAGTTCCTCGTCATTATAATTCGCTTCCGATAGTGAAGAAAGTGACAGAGAGGTTATTGAAAACGAAAACATTTCGATTGACAAATTAGTCGGTATTCTCGACACAGCAATTATAGGACTTGAACAGCGGAACTTTGTAACTAAACAAGAAATTATGTCTGTTTAATAGAATTAAATAGAAAGTATTATCACATGAAATGAAGCAACTTAAACAACTTACATTGAAAGAAATGTTTAATAAAGTAAACAAATAAATATTAAGCTTTTTGTTTTGTAAATTTTGATACCCTTTAGATCATAATTGTTCTTTATTTCATAAATTACGGTTTCATATTTTTAATTCTGTAATTTCTGCATGCCATCTTACCAGATTTAAACTAATGATCTATAATCCGGAAAAATCGATAATCCGGAATCGCCGAAGTCCCGACGAGTTCGGATTAACGACTTTTGACCGTATTCTATAAAATGTCTGGAAAACAAATATATTATCTGGCATTTTGGGACAAGATATGAAATGTCTGAATTATGTTAATATTACAGATACTGTTCTTAAGCATTATAACATTGTTTAAATTAACCAGTTATTTATAATTTCATTCTTTACTTCTCCTTTCCATTTCCTCACCAGAAATGCTAATGAGTTAAAAGAGCATTTAAGCTGAATTTTTGGATTGTGAAACAAAGGATGTTTTTGCCTCTCAAGGCCGCATTACTTTAGTTCTCACATCTCTGATAAATTTGTAATTATTTAGCTTTGCATTATTTGCTACCAACATTTAAACTGTTATGCCCATTAGAGTTTTGAGATAATTTTAATTTAAATTTAAATGTGTAGTCTTCGACTGCATTTCAAACCTGTTAATAAAAAGGTTTGTTTAAACCTTTTCAAGTCTCTGTTGTTATTTCAGACACAGCAATAATTCACTCTATGTCTGTTCAGAGTTTTGATTTAGTTTACACTTCCCAAGCAAGTCATCTGTTGTTATTTCAGACACAATGATAATTCATTCTACGTCTGTTTAGAGTTTGGATCTAGTTTACGCTTCCAAAGCAAGTCAAACTCTATATCATTATAAAGAATAACTAATGCTATTTAAACAAAGTATTAACAGAGACGCATGAAAAAGGCTTTTGTTGAAAAGATGTGATGGTAACACTAATGCATTCATTAACAGGATAAATCAATTAATTTTTGTTTTTTGCCAATGCCACATTATAGCAATTCAGCAGTCAATAGTCACATGATTCCTTCTTAACAGTTATCATGCCTTTTCTCTCTAAGTTCTGATAAGCAGTTTCAGTTAAGAAAACATTATTTTTTTTGCAGTATTGAGTTGTCAGTACTTTAGATAGTTCGTTACAGAATTACAATAATATGTCAACATGCCATGATTTCTTCTCGGATACTACACCTTCTTCTTAAATTTTCATACAGTATAGTTTGAGCTAGGGTCTTTGCTGAACAAATTCAAAGTAGCATATTTTGCTACTCTGACGCAAAGACAAATGTAAATATAGAATCGGTCTGAGACAAGTCTCAAAAGTCATATGCCTTGTGACATAACATTAGAAATATTACTAGTGGAAGTATTTTATAGGTTTTTCTTTTGGCACTGCATAAAATGCTTAGAGAATTTGCGAAATATTAATCATTTCATATTTTAAAGTCAAAGAATTCCATACAAAGCTTTTTCATACATTGCTGAAAATGTATAAATCATGAAGTAACCGTTCATCATTACTTACACATTTCATTAATTAAACTTTGCTTCTTGATTATGTCAAAGGTGTTGATTTTAAATTAACTTTACAAAACACTTAGCTCTTAATTTCACTTTTTTGTTCTCAAATATCATTAAAACCAATCTTAGGACCACCTCTAAAAACAACTGGTATTTCTGAGAACATTACTGAGCACCAGTACTGATAATTAGATTCTTCTTCTTCTCAATGATTATTTTCTAACTAGATTGACACCATCAAATATTTAAGATGACCCCCAGAATGGTAGTTCTAATTTTATTATTGTTATGTCATAGGCAAATCAAATTCACTTAAACAAGACAAGCTATTTTTATGAAAAACAGTATTTAATTTTTTCCGAATCATTAATTTTATACTTTCTTAGAAAGATGTAATTTTTCTTAATTTGGTGTTATGATAAGGATGTTTTAAACGATGGATCATGTTCTTGAATTATTTATACTATTTTTTTTTTTTTTTTCAATTTCCTGTCTATGCACTGATAATGTATTAAAAATAAATATTCTAAGAGGTGCCAGATACAGCTTCATTCCTATTTTTGAGGTTCTATCATCAATCATGCTTACTTCAGTGCTGATAGATACTGAAGTAAGCATGATGGATAATTTGGCAATATTAACGTAGATAAGTATGCATGTGTGTTTTTAATGAGAGAACAAATTTTTTTCAAAATGTTTATCAGTGCCTGTGCTTCTAAGGAGTGGAAGAAATTTTGTTGGAGGAAAATAAAAATTCCCAACTGTATTCTTAACTGAAGTGTTGTATGTAAGGTTTATTTTAACCAACACATACTTATGCTAAATTTGTCCTATATTCCTATTGCTTCATTTACTCCACCAGAATACGTAAATGAGAGAAGTTTAAAACAGGAGTAAGAATCTAAGCTTAAGAGTGAGGATTGGCAGCTTCAGCTGGCTATAAAATGTCTCCCCTGTTTGCATCTTATATGATTGATATTCGTATTAGTTGCTAAATTTCTTCTTTGCTTTGAATATTAAATAGTGGATTGTGAAATCAGTCAAGCAAGATGTAAGGATATAATTGAAATGTGTGAACGGAAAATTATTCCATGTTGTCTGTCATTGCAAGAAATGGAAGCAAATTTACTTTTGTTTGCTTAGTTTTGAGCTGAATGCACTGTTGCTTTATTTCTGTTATATTCATCTAGTACTCTACTGTTAATTAAAGCATCGGCAAAAATTCACCTGGCAGGTTAAAAGGTTAGACTAGCTTAGATTAAGAAAAAATGAGTTACACTCTGTACAATATTCTAAAAATAAATTTAAAGACTTTGATCAAAATCTGAGAAATGATAAATTGTCAGTTTACTGTATAAAGTTCAAAATGTTTTAGGAAAAGAAGTGACCAACAACAACAACAACAAAACAAAAAAAAAAAAAAAAACACTGATGAAGTAGGTCAATTTTATTAAGTTTATACTTAAATAAGCTCCAATTTTTTTTTTCCATGTTGCTAATCAAATTTATAATGAGAGATTTCAGCCCTTTCCCTCCCTTTTCTGATTTAAGCCAAAAGAAATTTTCCTGCATTTTAAACATTACTTATATGCACTATTTAAAATATTAACTACATAATCTTCTTTTAGTCTTGTTTTATGGCAATGTTACTTTTTAATTCTAAAGTTAATTGCCCAGAAAATTAGAATGAGAATAGAATAGAAAAAATAGAAATAGAAAAAATATTACAAAATCAAATAGTAAACAGCAATATTTGAATTATTTTCAATATACAAGAAATAAGAGAAAATTGTAAATCTTATTACAGTCAAAAGTCGTTAATTCGGACACCAATAATCTGGACTTCAAAGCTACAAACTTTCTGCGCATGTGTCGCGTTGACGCATGTGCGTAAGACCTTTATGGCTGCGAATATGCGTGTGCGCATGTGCATAATACATTTACGCATGTGCGTTTAATATAGAACGGATGATATAAGCTAAGCTAAAATTATCTAATTCAGTTAATGTCGCAGATTTCGTTGTTCCTTAATCTTTGAATTGGATCCGGCTTATTATTTTTTGTAGATTGTTAGAGCAATTTTATAAAAGTAAGCTTGAACTTTTGATTATGTCAAACAGAATTTCCGATATACATTTACTAATATGTAAAGGATCTACAAAGCGAAAATATGTTTCGAAGTCCATTAAACAAAAAGTAGAATTGCTGCTAAAAATGGATAAAGGCATATCCTTTGTTTATGTAACCATTCCGAAATCTGTTTATTAATTTCACGCTGCTCTGCCGCGGGGACGCTGCGGCGTGCAATGAATTGGAAGTTGATCTGTCAGCACTATTCTTATCTTCAGGGCAGATGTTTTTATTTCATTTGGCTTATAATTCCTTGCTAAATGTAGTATTTCATCTCGATGTACTCTGTCTTTGATGTGATTTAAATCAAATTCCTCGTCATTATAATTCGCTTCCAATAGCAAAGAAAGTGACACAGAGGTTATTAAAAATGAAAAAATTTCGATTGACAAATTAGTCGGTATTCTCGACACAGCAATTATAGGACTTGAACAACGGAACTTTGTAACTGAACAAGAAATTATGTCTGTTTATAGAATTAATGAGAAAGTATTATCACATAAAACGAAGCAACTTATAAAACTTACATTGAAAGAAATGTTTAATAAAGTAAACAAATAAATATTAAGCTTTTTTTTTTTTTTTTTTTTTTTTGTAAATTTTTATACTTTTTAGATCATAATTGTTCTTTATTTCATATTTTTAATTTTATAATTTCTGCATGCCATCTTACCAGATTTAAACTGATGATCTATAATCCGGAAAAATCGATAATCCGGAATTGCCGAAGTCCCGACGAGTCCGGATTAACGACTTTTGACTGTATTACTTACAAATGTCATGATCTACCTTTAGGCTACATTATATACTAAATAAATAACACTTTACAATCATTTCTATATACTTTATTGAAGGAGAACAATTTTGTAAAGCACCTAAATAGTAAAATCATTAAATTTTTATAATTTTCCATACTACACATGGATTTATATCTTATCTAATTCTTAAACTAAGATAATTTCTCTGCTTGTATTTGTGCTAGCAAGTACATTTACCATTAATTTTGAATTTTAAGCATTTTGATTTTGAGTATATTTAAACATTTAAATTAATATAACATACAATCTGAAATTCAGCTTACACTGCTATATAAAACGAGACTGTTAGTTTATGAAAATTGTGAGATCTCATGTGAAAACGTGACGAATTTTCTTCACAAACATTTTAATTAATATATATTTATGTCTTTCACAAAAAATACATATATGTATAGGCATATTCAATTTTGCCTTTTTTACCTTCATTTAATTTTATTATTTATTGCACAATGAACCATCTCTAAGACAATTCTTCCCAGTTCCAGATGACTTTGGTTTTCTTTGGAGAGGGCTATCTTAAAGATGATGATTACAGTCAATGAAAATAATTTATTTATCCCAGTGAAAATTCTCAGTATAAATTGATGAAAAATACTGACATAGAAGTGAATTGGAAGCTTTTTAATAAAACTATGAATTAATTAGGATTATTAAAAGACAACAAAAGTAGTGAACAATGTACAACAAAACAAACTTTAAAATTAATTTCCTAAAAATCTTAACAGCAGAAAAAAAAAAAACAAAATCTTGGGGGTAATGGGAAATGAGACTTATACAGTCAAAAGTCGTTAATCCGGGCTCGTCGGGACTCCGGCGATTCCGGATTATAGATCATCAGTTTAAATCTGGTAAGATGGCATGCAGAAATTATAAAATTAAAAATATGAAACCGTAATTTATGAAATAAAGAACAATTATGATCTAAAGGGTATCAAAATTTACCAAAAAAGCTTAATATTTGTTTACTTTATTAAACATTTCTTTCAATGTAAGTTGTTTAAGTTGCTTCGTTTTTAACGTGATAATACATTCCCTTTAATTCTATAAACAGACATAATTTCTTGTTCAGTTATTCCGCTGTCAAGTCCTATAATTGCTGTGTCCACCGACTAATTTGTCATTCGAAATTATTTCGGTTTCAATAACCTCTGTCACTTTCTTCACTATCGGAAGCGAATTATATTGACGAGGAATTTGATTTAAATCATATCAAAGACGGAGTACATCGAGATGAAATACTACATTTAGTAAGGAATTATAAGCCAAATAAAATAAAAAACATCTGCCCTAAAGATAAGGATAGTACTGACAGATCAACTTCCAATTCATTGTGCGCCTGCCGTGGCGTTAAAGATACACAAAGTTTAGATAAACAAACGTTAAAGTTTAGATAAACAAAGGATATGCCTTTATCCATTTTTTGCAGCAATTCCACTTTTTGTTTAATGAACTTCGAAATATACTTTCGCTTTGTAGATCCTTTCATATTAGTAAATATATATCAGAAATTTTATTTGACATAATCGAAAGTTCAAGCTTACTTTTATAAAATTGCTCTAACAGTCTGCAAAAAATAATAAGCCGGATCCAATTTGAAGATTAAGGAACAACACAGTCTGCAAGATTAACTGAAATAGATAATTAGATAATTTTAGCTTAGCTTATACTATCCGTTATACATTAAACGAGCACTCGTAAACGTATTTTGCACACGCGCACAAGCATATTTGCAGCCGTAAAGGTCTTACGCGCATGCGTCAATGACGCATGCGCAGAAAGTTTGTAGCTTTGAGGTCCGGATTATAGATCATACCGGATTATGGGTGTCCGAATTAACGACTTTTGATTGTATTACAAATTTTGTTTAGAAAACTTCAGATATTCATTCAAGGAAATCAGTCTACTTGATTTCAATTTTCTGTTAATCATTTCCCTTCCTAAAATAATTTGGGCTTCATTAAATAAATCAATATATTTGTTGCTACAACCATTTTATTTTTTTAATTACTAATTTTTATTCTTTATCTGATAAAACTACAGCAAAATAATTTGCTCTTTGAAAAACAAAGATCCTTCCATAATGCATAAAGAAACAAACAACTTTTATAAAACACAAAAGTGAATTTTGACAACCTAGCACATTTTTCTTCTATCTATTACTTAAGGCCTTCTAGTAATTTACAGAAAACTGTTTGTTCATTGTTAGTTTATAACAAATATTTTACAGTTATCTACACAATTTAACTTGAAAAAGACATGCTGCATAGATAATTGATCTGATATTAAATCCTTAAAGTCCCTTTCTTATATAAAAATTAATATTATCACTACAGTCAAAAGTCGTTAATCCGAACTCGTCGGGACTCGGCGATTCCGGATTATAGATCATCAGTTTAAATCGTGTAAGATGGCATGCAGAAATTCTAAAATTAAAAATATGAAACCGTAATTTATGAAATAAAGAACAATTATGATCTAAAGGGTATCAAAATTTACAAAAAAAAAAAAAAGCTTACTATTTATTTGTTTACTTTATTAAACATTTCTTTCAATGTAAGTTGTTTAAGTTGCTTCGTTTTATGTGATAATACTTTCTCTTTAATTCTATAAACAGACATAATTTTTTGTTCAGTTACAAAGTTCCGCTGTTCAAGTCCCGTTAATTGCTGTGCCGAGAATACCGACTAATTTGTCAATCAAAATTTTTTCGTTTTCTCTAACCTCTCTATCACATTCTTCATGTCTTTATCCATTTTTTGCAGCAATTCCACTTTTTGTTTGATGGATGTCGAAACATACTTTCGTTTTGTACGATCCTTTGGGAGCTCCAGAATCGGAAATTCTATTTGACATAATTGAAAGTTCAAGTTTACTTTTATAGTATTGCTCTTACAGTCTGCAAAAAATAATAAGCCGGATCCAATTCGAAGATTAAGGAACAACGCAATCATCAACATTAACTGAAATAGATAATTAGATAATTTTAGCTTATACTGTCTGTTATACATAAAACGTGCACGCGAAAACGTATTCTGCGCTTGCGCACACGCAAATGCGCAGTCGTAAGAGGTCTTACGCGCACGCGTAAACGCCTATGCACATGTCTCAACGTGGCGCATGCGCAGAAAGTTTTTAGCTTTGAGGTCCGGATTATAGATAATTCCGTATTATGGGTGTCCGAATTAACGACTTTTGACTGTATAATTTTCCTCTATTAAATTGCAAAATTTGTGAATGAAAAAATATTTAAAGACATATTCATTGATTTTCATATATAAACTTATTATATTAGTTAACAAAGATAAAAAAATTATAAACATAATTTATGATGACATACTTGTATTTCTGAATTAATCATATGAAAGCAAAATTCATCAGGATTTCTATTCAAGGCTTTTTTCTGCAACTTCTTGAGCTTGTTTTGTTTGACATGATAGACCCTATGAAAAGCAAGAAAATATACATCTTTGTCATAATAGTTTACAATAAGTTTGGTTGTTTTAATTTTTGTTTATTTATTTTTTGTAACAGTCGTCCAAAAAAAAAATGTTAAATATATACATCAGTATCACAAAATTAAATTTAGTTTGTATAAATATATACATGTCATTACTGAAACATTTTTAAAACTTACAATTTTTAATTTTCTTTTGCATGCAAATTTTAGGTCCAAACACCACTTCATCAAATTTGTGGCCAATAAAAAATTTAGGGACATACAGAAGCAACAAGTTTATCTCAATGGAATATCTCAGTTTATTTCAATGGAATATATTAAAAAATTACTAATTCAATAAGAAAAGAAAACTATTTCTTGATGGAAATTTTCCCTCTGAGCGTTAGAATCATATTCAGAGCAGGACTTAGAAGAGAAGGATTAGTTCAAGGATGTGAGAAGTGGTGACGTAATCATGTTGACACTGACTGCAGAAGTGCAATTCATGACACAGAAATTAGCATTTTTAACTTGAAGCACCAGCATTTTAAATTAACTGTATGTGAAAGATAGCTATAATTTGGAAGAAATGATTTTACTGTTGTGTGTATTTTACACTGAACATTTAAAAAGTTAATAATACTTACTTATTAATTAAAGAATAGCAGATAAGATGTGAAACTTTTATCATAAAGTTTCATTTTTTTAAAACACACGAGACTTTTTTTTAAATGTACATTTATTTATAAACATTTCTTCATATGGATACTAACTGGGAGAATTCTACTACCGCCTCTAAGATAACTATAATAACAGCTTTTTAAAGTTAGCCAAAAGCAATCTTAGATTGGCATAGATTTAAACAAACGTGGCAATTCTTTTTTCCCTGCTGCTAAAAAAGTTATGTCTAGTTGCCCTTGAAATCGATAGCTTTACTGACAATTTCTGCTATTCTAAAGCTGATTTGCAGTTTCTGCTATTTTAAAGCCTAGTTATAAATTTCATATTGACGTGTTTCTCTTCCAATTCAATATAACAACAGTTATTTTTTAAATAATTTTCTAACCTATGCTCACATCTATATCACATGCATTACATTTATATAAAAACAATATGAAAGATTGTTGTCTTAAATTCGACAAAACAGCTTTATTCACAGTATCTAAAGAGAATATTTAATTTTTCAAAAGAGGGGGCTAGGAAGAAAGGTCCTTTTCTTGTGAAATTTCTTTGATGTTTTATATGATTATAAATTATCTAAAATGCTCCGCTAGCTTTGTTTTTAAAGTTTTGCTACTTTAAAACTTTAATTTTGGAATTCCTGATATAAAACTGTATCTAGGTGTCGCTCACCTTTTTGTCGCTGCGCAAACATTCTAATTTTTTTCTATAATATATGCATGCTTTCATCAAAAGAAACTTTCTTTAAGCAACAAAAAAGGTGAGAGACATCTAAAATAAACTTGTAGCAAAAATTAAAATTTTAAAACAATGAAACTTAAAAAACAGAAATAGCTGAGCATTTTAGATCACTCATAATTGTATAAAACATCTAAGCAAGTCTGCATAAAAGAGGGCCTTCCTCGTCAACATCCTCTTTTGAATAGATACTGTAAGTAAAGCTGTTTTGTCAAAATTAAGACAACGCTTTTGAATACTGTATTTATTTACATGTAATGCATGTTAAATAAATACGAGTATAAGTTACAAAAAGATAAAAAAAAATATCTGTTATTATATCAAATCCGAAGAGGAACACGACAACGTAAAATTTGTAACTAGGCCAAAAAGCAACCAGATTAAACTAAATTTTGAATAAGACTATCAATTTCAAGGGAAATCAAATATAAGTTCCTTTTCATTAGCAGTAATAATAAGAAAGGATTGTCATGCACATTTAAAACTATGGCAGTCTCAGGTTGCTTTCAAAACTGGGAAATCTTGAAATATAATCTCCCTTTCTATTTCTATATGTGTTCTACATACCAAAGGAAAGAAAATGTTCCAAAGTTTTGTTTACCATAGCTGGCACAGTGATAGCTGCATAAATGGCTACGATACAGTGCAGTGGGAATTTAGTCTGTGATTTGGCATTAATTCACCAACTAAGAAAAGCATCAAATGTTGGTTAATGCAATTTCAAGAAACTGGATGCCTCTGCAAAGGAAAGAGCTCGGGCTGACTGCGTGTGCCAAAGAATGACATTAGACAAATACAGTGGTGAAATAAATTAAGAGAATTTGCATATTTGATCTATGATCTCCAGAACTACTGGACAGATTTTAATAAAATTTGGTGTGAACATAGGTTGATATAATACAAACAATATAAATATTAAACTGTTATAATAGACACACATGTTTGTGTGTGAATGTTAGTAGGAGTGTGAAGGTTTGAAACAGCAGTTGCAGAAGACACAAAAGAAATGGGTTAATAGGGAGTAAGGTCCCCTCATACAGACATACAGGCCTCGCAGCGCTATGTCATACTGGAAATAAGGCAGTTTATCAGTGCCTGTGGCTATTGGCCCTACTCAATCAGCAACACTGTTTTCAGCTCCTGGTTGGTTCTCGGAGTGGTGTTGCATGTTGCAATTGCCCTCCCCAGAGCGTCCCAGACATGCTCTATATGGTTGAGGTTTGGAGACCTGACTGGCCAATTATTCCGACAAATATCCTCTCTCTCAAGAAATTTGTCAACCAGAGGAGCTCTATGTGGCCTCGCATTATTGTCCTGTAAGATGAACTTGAGGCCCACTGCAGCCTGGAAAAAGCAAACACAGGGCTCCAAGACCTCATCCCTATACCTCACACCAGTCACAGAGCCTCTGTAAAAGACATGGAGAGGTGTGCGGCCATCCAAGATGATGCCTGCCCAGACCATCCACTGTCATAAGTGTTGATTTCGCGGACATTGGAGGGTAGGTAGCAGGTCCCTAGCTCTCTCCATATGGAAATATGGCGAGAATTGGTGTTTAGGCTAAAACAAGACTCATCAGTGAACAGATTCATCTTACCCTCCATGCGCTTATAAAGCCTGTTTTTCTGCTGGCTTCACCTACACATATGTGTATGCTTACGTATTTGCCGTACAAGATTTGCATTTTCATCTAGAAGCAGTGGTTTTTCATATTAGTTCAGTTCTTTTCATGCAATTTGATAAAATATGAAATTCTCTTAATTTATTTCACCAGTGTAGAAGATAGTTTTCTATATAGTCCAGGAATGTCAACTAATACACCTAATAGAGAACTAGAAATATTCCAACCAAGTGTATGGCATGTTTTGAGATGGCATTTGCTATACAAGCTTTACTGCTTACTGCACGTAATTTCTAGTGATGAAGCTACATTCTATCTTAGTTACGTTTGTGTATGAGGTCTGCACAATCTCCATTCAACATTGCAACATGAGAGAGACTCAGTGATGATAAACGTGTTCTGCGTTATATCATGGACAAAAGAGTATGCAACATTCTTTTTTACAGAAAGCACAGTAAAAGAAATTACATACCTGGATATGTTGAAATCATGGCTTTTTCCTCAACTTATTGATGATTCACATAACTTTATTTTCCTATAGGATGGAGCTCCGCCTCACTGGCACCGTGATGTCCGAGGATTTTTAAATCAATGCCTTCCTCAGTCATGGATAGATCACATGGAAAATCAAGACCTGGTTCTATACTTCTGGCCAACGAGATCTCCAGATCTCCCGGTGTGTGACTTTGTTGTGAGGCTATGTTAAGGAGACTGTTTACATCCCACTGATACCAACAATTCTAGCTGACCTGCAGAACTGTGTCATTGCTGTGTTACACTCAGTAATGTAAGACATGCCTTTTTGCATGTGGGATGAGTTTGCCTACCATTTAGATGTTTGTCACGCAGCAAAAGGGACACATTGAACATTTACAACTTGTATACACAAACTTTGAAACTTACTTCTTGAATTAGTATGTAGATTGCTTATGTCCAATTTATGCTTCATGAAATACAAAGTAATTAAACTGGGTCCAACTTTTTGAATAACTCTGTATTTAGTGAAAGCTAACTACATAGTGATATACTTAGATTCAAATTATGGACAAGGCACAGACATTAATATCTATAATTTATTTGTAGAATTCAAATGCTTAACTTCTATTGATTTGAAAACCCTTTTGAGAGATTGCTGTTGAAACACAAGGAGTATATGAGACTCTTGACCTCTGTCATTCAAGGTGCCATCTGTTAAAACTGAGAAACTAGGCAGAGAGTTCTTGTGCATTTTACTACAGTAAATATTATGGTGTAATTTTACAGAAACTCGTCAACTTTTAAAAAGTATTTGTGGTATATATATATGCAATTGAAACTTCTGTACGGAAATAAAATTTGAAAAAATATATATAGTAAGCAGCTTTTTTTTAAAGAAGTTTATTAGGTTTGATTTAATTAATTACAGAAAACATTTGAGGATTATCTATACAGTGGAAATGATGCTGTTAGAATAGACTTTCAAAGGGAAATTGACTTGCATTCATTTTAAGTTTGGGAAAAACTTCAAAAATCCTATGCAGTCAGTCTATTCAGTTGCCATGGTAAGTTTTTAATTTATATGAATATGCAAAGCTGCAAGGACTATCTGCCTGAGAAGGAAGCCTTCAGAGAGAACTCTTTGAAGGAAACTGGCTCATATTCAAACTATATACGACAAACAACATGAAAAGTTACCATGCAGCCGAAATCAGCCTATATGCGGCCAGGTCGTAAATTTACAACCCCTTTTTTCACTGGGGGGAGAGCTGAAAAGGATGGAAAATCTTGCTTGGGATCTCTAGAAAATGTGGGGGTTGTTTAAACATCTAACTTCTCTATATTCAGTTTTATGCAGAGGAAAATACAAATTGAATTCTTTGAATCAATGCAATTTTGTACAATGAAAATGTATTATTGAACGATAAACTGTAATGCAAATAATATCTTTTTTAAAACCACATGAGTAGAAAGACAGATATTTGTTACATCAATGAATTTGGAGTATATATTGAGTTTTTCATTTTGAATGCTATGTTACATGTATGCGAAGGAGCTGAGTATGTGAGAAAATAGTCATAACCCGAATGGCTTTCAACCTTTTTATGTCTAAAAACTGTTTTTCAAATACATTGTGGTCGCTGATTTTTAGTTAATTTTCTAATGACATATAAACATTAAATTGTTTTTATTTGAGACTTATGAATAAAAAAACGCAAACTAGACTGCAGAAAATTTCTTCAGGATGAAGTTAAATAATACTGAAAAATACATTATTGATGCACTTTCGGGTTTTATATGTAGTAGTTAATATGGAATCCTTAAAGTATATATATCTATATATAGGTATATATAAACGGAACAAAATATAGAACAAAGTATAAAATATCATTATTATGCAATGTTTATTACCATATGTACACTCTTAGACAAAAAAAAAAAAAAAAAAAAAAAAAAAAAAAAAAAAAAAAAAACACGACGCACCGAGAAGATATAAAGCAAATTGGACACAAATTGATATGCATACAGGTTGTGACAGAAAATGCAAAATTTTACATTTTGGCTGCCAATGAATGAATGGTTGTCGCTACAGCGCATCTGATCTGCGCAACTGGCAGGATATTTAAGAGGAGAAATAACGATTCCAGGTCATAAATTCTTCACGAATTTGATTCCATGTACTCTGGTAGACAGTAACTATGGCTCGCATATAGGTGCACGAACAATATGCGCAGATGTCAGAATTTGAGAGAGGTCATGTAGTTCTCAAAGAAGCCAGTTGGTCTTATCGGCGAATTGCTTGACATTTGAGGAGCGATGCCACTATTAGACGATGTTGGCAGGAATGGGTGAATCATGGCCACGCCCAGCGTCAAGAAGGAAGCGGTAGGCCTAGAGAAACGACAGAACATGAAGACCGAGCAATCGTCAGAGCGGCACTCACAGCCCCAGATGCATCATTATCATCAACTGTATGTGCAACTAGTGCTTCAATGACCGCAAGGACCATTCATACACAGCTCATAGAAAGGGGGCTGAGGTCACGATGCCCCTTGTGCCAGCTACCATTGACCTCTGCACAAAGTCAAGCCCGTTTGCAGTGGTGTTGGGCTCATTCACACTGGAATGTCACTGACTGGAGTAGAACAGTCTTCAGTGATGAGTCTCGCTTTGAACTGAGCCCTGATAACCAGCGAAGGTGAGTCTGGAGATGACCCGGACAGCGGTGTGATACCAACCTGACTTCCGGCAGACAGGCCGACAACAAGAGCAATGGTCTGGAGTGCCATTTCATAGTAGGACCCCTTTGGTTGTTATCCATTGCAATCTTACAGCACAGCGATACGTCAACGAAGTTCTAAGGCCCGTTGTGTTGCCCTTCATGTCACGTCACCCTGGGCTTACATTTCAGCAAGATAATGCCCGCCCCCACACATGCTTCTACTGCTTGCCAAACATTACCTTGGCCAGCATAGTCACCAGTTCTCTCTCCTATTGAGCACGTTTAGAGCATTATGTGCAGGGCCCTCCAACCAGCTCAGGAGGTTGACGATCTAACATGCCAGTTGGACAGAATTTGGCACAATATCCTTCAGGAGGACATCCGCAACCCCTATCAATTGATGCCAAGCCGAATAACTGCTTGCATAAGGGCCAGAGGTGGACAAACGCATTAGTTCTATCACTTCAATTAAATCATCCAATTTTTCTCAAACTGTAATCATTTGTTTTTCTGTACATGAACATCACTTCTACTGATTTTCGTCCCATCATTCAGATAACACCTTCTAGGTGTTATCTGAAAAGGACTGTCATTTTTTTTTTTTTTTTTTTTTTTTGTCTAAGTGTATATTTACGTATTATCAATATAATTGGTTAGTTCGGTTTTGTACATATATAATTTAATTTTATATTTTGTATTATATTCAGTACTGTATACGTATCTGAAATTAAATTTTACTTTTTCTCGACTTTAAGTGAGAAGATGAGGTTATGACTTTAAGTGAGAAAGAATTGTTAGGGCCTTCATAGGGATTAAATTATATACAATCAATTAAGATCAGACTTTTCGTTTCTTTTAATAATTATATATATTTATATATTATTTTATAAGTATACATAAAAAATAGCTGTTTTTTAAGCTACATATTTACATATCTATTGTTTGGCCTGGTTTGTTTGATTATATCAAAGCATTCAACGGCTATTTGCCTAAGGGTAAGGATGCCTTGTGGAGAACTTTCTAAGCAAAACTGACTCGTATGCAAGTTACACATGGGTAAAACCACGAAAATGCCAATACAGCTATCCCGTTCACCAGGATTCAAACCCGGATCGACCTACCAGGGTTCGATGACTTTACCGCTTAACCGCTAGTGAGCCACACACACACATCCACACATATACATTAAATCATATTTACATGTCGTTTATAAAGTATAATTGAGTGCAATTTAATCATAAAGAGTTAGAAAATATTCTACGGAATTACTTTGCTTCATAGACTTTTTGTAAGTTTCACCATATTTCTTAAAGAGAATCTCAATGCTAATTCCATTTCCAAGCCATTTATGTATCTTATTTTCTTATGCTTTGAATTATATTCAGAGAATTATTTCACCTTATTATAGCTGAAAATGCAGTTTTTTTAATGAAGAATTTAAGGATAAGAAGAGAATTAAGTCCTTTACTAATTATTCTTGAAGCATTTAAATTAAAAAAAGGGGGCCACATAAATATGGATCACTGAACTAAGGTGCTTGATAGAGGACAGATTAATTAGCTACTAAATTTTGATTTTTATTGAGTAAAAATGAATTCATCTGCATTCTATAAGAAAGCAAATATTCAAAAAATATTTTTCTGTTCTTGCAGTCATAATATTTTTCTTAAATATTCAGCTAATTCATATTCAAATATTCCAATCCATTATAATTAGTAATAAATCGATTTAGTAAATAAATAATTAAAATCAATTAAATGGAATTTTAACTTCAAATCTTTTCATATCCTATATAATTTGTCTCCATTCTAGTACCATGTACATCCTTGAACACATTACTGACTTACAGTGAAGAATAGATAACTCTGTAGCCCCATTTAAGTTTTTATTCCTGATATATTGATACTGAATGAAACCTAAAAACACTTTTCTTTTACAATATATCTCCCCTTATGATCCCTAACGCAGCTGCTTATTTTCCCCTTTGCAATTAACGTCAAGGTCCCCCTCTTGACCGCATTCGAGACGTCACCATGCAGCCAGCACGGTGGCCTGGGCCCAAACCCAGACATGGTTGAACTATCAGCATTTAGAGGTCCTAATCACTTGGCCATTGGTGGGGCTGCTATGGTAAAAACCAAGTACATTCAACCAATGCTTGTCATCTTATTTCCTTAACTTGTCTTTATGAATATAATAAAGTAAAAATCCTTCTCATTTGAAATACCATCAACTATGTACTTCTTGTATTAAAATCCAAATAAGACCAGTAACAATGAAAAACATTTGTTACACACACACATATATATATATATCTATGTATCCAATGGTTTTCACTTCAATATAACTTTATATACATATTTATATATATAACTAATTAAAGTAAAAAGAACCTATGTGGTCAAAAACTTTGCGCATTGTGCTGCAAAATTTAGAAAAAAGTTAAAAGAAAATTCTTAGTTCGTATGATATAAAGTTGCTTAAATACTGTGTTTCCGTGAAAATATTAACATAAGCAAAATAAAGTGCAATGAAATGTGTTACAAAGATAAGACAAAAAATACAAACACTTGAATATTTACAAATAAAAATCAATACTAATAGTAAGCAATATGCCAATCAAAGCAAGCCATATTTAAAACATTACAATAAAGTACGAACACAGCATTACCTTGAACGTAACTTATAATCTTTCTTTTTCTCAAGAAGACCAAGATGCTTTCCAGACTCAGGCTGCAATACATTAAAAAATGGATATCAACAAATATTTATAAAATTTTTATTGTAAATACCAAGAAATTACTTATATTTTTAATAAAAATCCAATTACAACAATGACTGACACAAAAACAAATTTATTGATTCCTTTATTATATCCATCGAGGAACACTATCCTTTTCAAGAAAAAAAGAAAAAATATACTCTAAATCTAAATTCATATGAAATATAGACATTATGAAAACATAATACAGTACAAAGTCCGTAATACAATTAAAAATATGAAACTGTAATTTATGAAATAAAAAGCAATTATTATTTAAAGGATATCAAAATTTACAAAAAAAAAAAAAATAGCTTAATATTTATTTGTTTACTTTATTAAACATTTCTATCAATATAAGTTGTTTAAGTTGCTTCGTTTTTTGTGCTAATACTTTCTCTTTAATTCTATAAACAGACATAATCTCTTGTTCAGTTACAAAGTTCCACTGTTCAAGTCCTGTAATTGTTGTTAGAATACCGACTAACTTGTCAATTGAATTTTTTTTCATTTTCGATAAACTCTCTGTCACTTTCTTCACTATCGGAAGCGCGAGGATAAACACTTTATGCGCATGCGTAAGTTTGTGGCTTTGAGGTACGGATTATAGATCATTCCGGATAATGGACATCCGGATTACGGACTTTGCACTGTATATACATATAATTACAAAACACAAACATGCCTAGTATTTTCGCGCATTAACTTTATGTGTGTTCTTAATGGGTTTTTTTTCAACTACATCTTAATTCATTGGATTATCTGTTTAAAGGTAAACATTTTGATTAAAAAAATTTTCACTGAAGTACAGTCAAAAGTCGTTAATCCGGACACCCATAATCTGGAATGATCTATAATCCGGACCTCAAAGCTACAAACTTTCTGCGCATGCGTCAACACACAATGCATTGAAGCATGCGCGTAATACCTTTACGCATGGGCATGATACGTTTACGCATGTGCGTTTAATGTATAACGGACGGTATAAGCTAAGCTAAAATTATCTAATTATCTATTTCAGTTAATGTTGCAGATGTTGGATTTAGTTTTTCACATGCAAATTTTGATCGGAGGTCAATCGGCGGTAAGCTCACGTGGTTCCCGCTGATGTCAAGATCGGAGGGTTGGTCGAGTATTATATATATGTACGTCAGTATCGGCAAATGTTCTTGTTCTCTTATGTTATTATGAGTTAGCATAATGCTACTTTGCTTTCAATCAAATGATTTTAAATGCAAAGGCTACAGTGTTAGCTCTTTTATTTTAATTTACGGAATAAAGCATGAATTTTATTTAGATTAGTCTTAGCTTTATTTAAGGGAAGCAAAATATGCTTTGCCTTTATCATCACTGCCAACAGGGTTATGGGCCCAGTGCCAACAGCTAATCGGTCATCCAGTTCAACTCAGCATTGAAGGAATGTAGGTGAAGAAGGCCGTTATCCACGAAAAGAAGCTGACCTATCTTAGAAGTTTGCTCAAGTTGTTGTGCTCACACTTAATTGAAGATGTCATTACTACCTGAAGGTTTTGAGCTGTTAAACCATGACAACTGGGATCGATGGGAAGTCAATATGAAAATGCTGTTGCTGGGTATAAATTGTTAGAACCTCAAAGAGGACAAAGAAGAAGAATTAGATAAAAGTGCAACAAGGCGTGAAAAGCAGGAATTCACACTGAGAGGGAACAGAGCCTTCACTACATTATATTATGGAATTAAAACTGAGTTCAGGCTGCTGATACAAGAATGTTCAAGTGGTAAAGAAACATGGGAAGTTCTACAGAAGCAATTCAAACCCAAAACAAGAGCAAGGATAATTCAGTTACTGGATGAATTTTTTTAGTATTAGATATACGCCAATGAAGAAATAGGATTTCATTCATCGCGAGGATAAGAATGACTGACTGGCAAAGAAGTTGGCTGAAGCTGGTCACAACTAGGGCAGATCTTTTTAAAGGATTCCAGGCAATAAGGAGATTACCCCAGGAAAACTATGGCATTGTACCAGTTGATCTATAAGGTGGAAGGAACGAGGAACATTTTATGCTGGAAAAAATTGCTGAAGAACTTTGGTAAGGGAAGAAAGCCGCTTGACTTCGCCAGGTAAATGCCGATTTAGAAGACAGCAAGGTAAGCGTGTTTAATACTATTAGTTCAAATTGCAGGGAAAGATAAAGTTGAAAATAAAACTAAATCTAAGAAAAAAATGGGGAATATGAGAATAGGACCTTGTTTTCAGATGTCATAAATTTGGACACGTAATCGCTCAATGTAAAGAAATGTAAGTAAAAATCAGAAGTTTAAAACAGACGATAAAAATGGACAGTTTTAAAGATAAAGAATTAATGTTAGTAGAAAATTATGTAACAACTACAGATAAAGGAGGTAACACAGATAAATTTAATTGGGTCGTAGATACTGCAGCTATAACTCATTTCTGTAATAATAGAAATTTAATGACAAATTTTGAAGAAATAAAAGATATACGTATGTCTTTAGTTGTAGGAAATTGTGAAAGTAAAGTACTAGGAAAGGGTACCGTCAAATTTTCAGTAAAAGTAGGCAATAGAAAAAATTGGATTGAGTTAGATAATGTGTTATATAATCCAAATCTAAGGAGAAATTTACTATCGGGAGCAAGGTTAAAAAGGGCAGGTGCTCATTTTGTGATTTCAAAAGGGAGGATGTGGATATACTTTAATAATTGAGATAGATTATGCTACACTAAACGAAATGACGGACTTTATCACGTAAAACCATTTAGATATGCAACAAATAAAAAGGGAAGCTGGTTACGGTACATAAATTGGAAAGTTAAATAAAGTAGACAATGCGATGCTATGACATCAGAGATTTAGCCACATAAGTTTTGATTATATTAAGAATACTAGTAAGAATCAAAGAGTAGAAGAGTTACCAGAAATTGAAAAACCAATGGAGAGGTGTGAACTGTGTATTATTGCTAAATCTTGTAGAATAACTTTTAAAATTGTTCCGAAGAGATCAGATAAACCATTACAGTTGGTTTATTTAGATGTTTGTGGTCCACTACCAGTTCCATCTAAGGGTGGGAGTAAATATTTCCTCGCTATTGTGGAAGACTATAGTAGATTAGTAACAGTGTATTGTATGAAAAATAAAAATGAATCGTTCTACAACTTTAAAAATTATCATAGGCAAATGGAAAGACTGATGAATAGAAAATTAATAAGTATATGCACCGATAACGGAATTCTGTAACAGGCAATTCGAAGGGTACTTAGCCGAAAATGAAATTAGTGTTGAACACACAAATGCGTGCACCCCAGAAGAGAACGGTGTGTGTGAACGTCATTAGATGCAGTTAAAGCTATGCTTAATGATGGCAAAATGGGAAAAGAATGGTGGGCAGAAGCTCTTGGCTGTTTCGTACATATGTGGAACAGAGTATGTCATAAAAGCAACCGAACCCCTTATGAAATGTTCCTAAATAGAAAACACAGTGTTGTTTATTTTAAAATGTTTGGTTGTAAAGCCTATGTTGGCGTGCCAACACAGTTTAGAAATAAATTACAAATGAGGGGCAAAGAAGGAATCATGGTAGGATATGCGAAGGAAACTAGGGGTTACAGGATATGGCTACCAGAAGAACGCAGATTAATAGAAACCTGTAATGTGAAGTTCAATGAAAAACTGAATGCAGCAAATGGCATCCTGGAACAGAAATCAAAACCTAAGTTTAAAAGACTAGAGCAATCTGAGCTATTAGCAGAATCAGATGAAGAACAAGAAAACTTCTAGAAAAGAAATAAAGCTGTCAGATGACAAATCTACTTAAAAGAAGTATCAGACTTAAACTGGCAAAGAAAAGCAGTTAAAAGGCCAGATGGAACACATACAGACATATATTATTATGTAGAGGGAACGGACACCCGTTTTAGATCCTATAATGATATTGAAAGGTATTGTGAAGCAAGAAATATTAAATTTGAAAAAGATAAGTTCGATTTTAGTGGAAAAAACGAATACTCAGGAAAAGTTAATTTTGTAGAACAGGAGACTAGCTCCATGTCTGAAGAGGCAAATTCCGTAGAAATAGTTATCCCACAAAATTTTAAAGAAGCTCGAAAATCAGTTAATGCCGAAGAATGGGATAAGGCAATGAAAGAAGAAATTGACACAATGAAGAAAAGAAAGGTTTGGGAATTAGTCGAAAAGCCAGAAAATAAAACTATGATAGGAAACAAATGGGTCTATACGCTAAAAAGAAATGAAAAGAATCAAGTGGTTAGATACAAAGCACATTTAGTAGCACAGGGATTCCAGAAAAGAGGTGAAGATTTTGATGACATTTACAGTCCTGTAGTAAATTTTTCAATCATAAGAATATTTTTCACTATCCTGGTATGTTTATATGGATGGACTAATTGTCAGTTAGATGTAAAGAACGCATATTTATATGCAAAGCTAAATGAGGAAATATATATGACCCAACCAGAGGGATTTATCGAAGAGAAAAATAAAGTGTGTTTATTACACAAGGCCATTTACGGTCTACATCAAAGCGGCCGTGAATGGTTTTGTGAATTTGAAAGTACTTTAGAAAATCTACATTTTAAGAAAATACAATGTGTATTGTATTTTGTTTATAAGGGTTCAAATGTAATTCTCTTGTTATATGTAGATGATATTGTGATTTTTAGTAAAGATCAATATAGTATAAAGTAATTTCACAGCTGAGTAAGTTTTTTGATCTTAAAGTATTAGGCAAAACTAAAACGTTACTTGGAATTGAATTCTTAGAGAATGAGAAATGGGGTTTTTATACATCAGCAAAAATATATCGAAGAAATTTTTGAAAAATTTAAACCTTTCCAGATACCAATAACTTCACTTCCCATAGCTAAGGGCACTATTCTTACAAAATTAGATTGTCCATCTACAAGTGCAGAAGTTGCGGAAATGCATACATTACCCTTCAGAAATCTGTTGGGATGTT